CTGTACCGCAACATGTCCGTGTAACACAGTGACCTCAAACTGTTTCGCATCTCTGACCATCCCCAACAATACACTGATTTAACCGGCTGCATATTCTCACGCACACATGCAGATGTATACACACGGTAGGAAACCACATATTCCCCTCTCTCTCCCCCTTTCCTCCCTTTTTTCTCTCTCTCTCTTTCTCTCTCATCAATCTCCCTCAAATCAGTACGTCGTGATGTCATGCGTTTCAACCTTATCGACAATTCGATGCCCGGCTAAACATTCAGGCAGATTTTAACGCTTTTTGCGAAACTGCGCTGTGGCGGACAGCAGCCAAATGAGTATTGATTTTAACTTCGATCAGCACACTGTATGTATAGTTGCAATCAAATCACGGTTGATTTAAATAAGATTATTGCTAATAACGCAGCCTTTGAATCATCACGCCGATCTTGTGCATCAATATTGCGATAACTTTATGAGGTAATTATCGCTCGCATGTGATCCGTTCGTTAGTCTGATATACATAATTAATTGAGAAACTACAAACCGTTAAAAGTCTTTTTGCTAATATTTACGTAATTATTATATCACTTTTAATATAGATATAATAAAAAATATTCTAAATAGTAAATTACTATAAAAATCTAACCGCGTATTAAAAATTTGCAATTCGTAAATTTAATAACTTTGCGGTTGCTAGCGAATCGCACATTCTATACGAATTTTGAAATCAAATCGGCTATTAAATCGAATGTTATGTAACATTAATTAGCAAACATTTTCGATAGGATCGTATCAGGTAATTAATACGTTGACCAGATTGCATTTGGTTCTCGTATCCGTTTCATCTTTCCCCACGAATTAATTCGATGATTGAAAAAGTATGGCGAATATGTATGCTTTACCTCGCTACGAAGGTTAAAAGGTTCTCGTTCTTTTGCGCGAAGTTCCATTATAAATAAATTGTTGAAGCTGATAAATACGTGATACGTGTATTAACAAATATTTAGATTTACTGTTAATGCTCAAGTAAATAATATTGCTATTATAATAAAAAGTACCATTTAAATTAATACTACAATAATTTATATTAACTCTTGAGAAGCAATTTTATTTGTTTCGATAATAAATGAAAAAAGCTGCACGTAAAATTATATAATATCACTGGAATTAAAATGATTTATAATAATTTATGAATGTCGACGCATTAAATAACTTTATTACAGTTGTTGCGGTCTTAAATACATACAGTCGCTTGCGGCTGTTGAACGTATTCGACGCGCTTCATCGAGGTGTGCAATTTCGATCATGCACGTGGCGTCAAAAATTGATTCGCCAGTTACCATTCCTAATATTACCTTCAAGAACATCATTTCCCTTTCTCCCGTTCGCCTCGATCCAATTTCGAGCTCCACGGCCGCGTAATTTATAATTCCCACCGCAAATTCGATCTCGAGTCCCGTCGCGGCCCTCTTGGGGACATCTTGTGTATCTATCCGCTCATATATTTGCTTATCCGGGATACCCGTGTTTGTATTGTGTGTACGTACGCACGTCAATTGTATTGATTACGTGCATTAGACGGGCGGGACTTTTCAGTGCAAATTGAAAAGTCCGCCTCAGAGCACCGATTTATTCCGTGCCAATGTTACTTCGATCGCAAACTGAGGGATTTATCCTCGCTAACGAGAGAGATGCATTTTGTCGGTGCAATTTTTAGAAAGCACAACCGACGCGAATGGATCAGTGACTCGTCTATATTTCGATTAGCGTGTTTGGAGCCAGCTTGAAACAGTTCCTATATGATTCTAATAATAGAAGCTGTAAGACCGAAAAAAGTTCCTTTTTCATAGTTATTCCATTATTCCATTAGTTATTGCAATTTTTGTTGCACAAATAGTAATCCTACGCTGCAAAAAGTACTGTCTGCTTAACGAACTCTCACTATATATGTACTTGATAAAAGACATACGCGTCCATTAGGAAAATTTTCTAATTTGATATACTCGAAATTTTATACGTTTAAAACTTTACAGTAAAATAAATTTGAACGTTGGATTATCGAATTTTATTCG